AWWAAMCCCAAAAGGAGAACTGGGCTGTTGTGGAGACGAGTGTCACACTCTGGAGTCACTCCCTCTTCCCAGGCTGCTGTGGGCAGAGCTGAGTCCCCCTGCCCCTCTGAAGCCAAGGAAGAGGGCCCTGTGCCTGGGGGATGCCCAAGCACCAGCCTTGCTCCCCCTCCACGTCCTTCCTCGTGACCTTCACTTCAAAAACCTCTTTTTTTATTCCCCCCCCTCCCCTGCTCTAACCCTTCGAGCCCACCACGAGCAGGCACAGCAAAAAGGAACGAGGGGATCGCGTTTTTAACAGGAAAAAACCTTTAATTCCTCCCGTGGCATTCTGATCTTGAGAGGTGCCTGCAGGTGGAGGGGCTGTTTTTTGAGGAGCTCTGCGGGTACCTGGGGTGTGCTAAACGCTGCTGGCACCGGGCTGGCAGCAGAAGGAGCTGGAAGTCTTTGCAAGCAGGATATTAAACTGCCATTAGTGGCACAGCGTGGGGTGGGAGTTAAAGGTTGGAGGGGCCTGTGGATGTACAGCAGCAGAGCTTTGAGTGAAGCCAATCTTTGCTGAAGGAGAAGTGGAGCACGAGGCTGGGAGCAGGTGGGGCTGGGACTGTTTTGTTCTCCACCAGTTTGTTGGTTTTTTCTTGAGCTTGTTGGTTTTTCTTTCGGTTTCCCATAAAGAACGTAAATATTTATGCAAATAGAAGGCGCTCAATCCTTTCTGTCTGGCAGTTCAGGCCGGATCTCTGCACACAGATGTGCTTTTTCCAGGTGGGAGAACTGTCGTGTCTGCTTTTGTCTGAGCAGGCACAGGGTGCTGGGAGTCCAGCAACAACCCCGCAGGAGAACCCACCCTGTGACACAAGTGCACGACCAACCTGGTTTTCAGGGTGAAAAATCCCAGATCAGGGTGATTTTTGGAGTGTTGGTGGATACCTTGCACTGGTTTTAGGAATGCTTTGGATCCTCCCTGAATGGGAGAACCACTCCTGTGTCTTTAATGCCAAAAACCTTTCACAGCAGCAGATATTTAGGGTTTGGGGCAGCACAGAGGCAGGTGGAGTTGAACTTGGTCTGGTCACGTTTTCACTTCACCTTCCTCATCCTCTCTTCTGCTTTTGCCAGCGGTGAAAAGTTTCCAAAGTGAAAAGTTTCTTTTCACTTGTTTATTTGCCTTGTGTACTGTTGCAATTGGAGAGAAGCTCTGTCATCCCAGGCAACATTTAGATCCTCTTTAATCACTTCCAGGGCTTCACTTCTCCAAATCAAGTCCTCAGACTGACTGACCCGTGTCTTTAGCTCAGACTGGGCTGGTGCCTCGAGGGCTCTGGGTTTCTTAGCCAGGAACAGGGATCTCTGAGTTTTAAGGATCTCTGAGTTTTAACCTGTAATTCCTTCTTCCCCAGATGCTGAGGAGTACCTGGCAGAAGGGCTGCAGAACGAGAACCTGAGTGCTGAAGCCAGGGAGCAGAGGGATGCCATTCTTCTGGGCATCCAGAGAGTCAAAGCCAGGTCAGTGTTCTCTGAATTCTTCTCTAATCAAAGAATGGTGGCACATCCTGGGGTACTTTGTGCTGGTAGAGTTGTCCCCATGCTTTGAAAATCCATGGACATTCAGGGCTTGGTGCAATAAGACCACTGGTTTTTACACTTCCAGTTAACCAGTTTATGGTTGTCTGGAAAATCATCATTATTTTGTTCAGAATTTGTGCGTTTCGAAGTGAAAAAATGCTGCCTTGGGCTGGGAATGTGCAGCTCTTTTCATGTGGGGTCTCTGATCCTCTCCTGTTCCAGAGAGGGTTTTTTGTGGAGAAAATCCATCACTTGAGTCTGTGGGTAAATCAATAACTGTGAGCAGAGATTCGTGCTGTGGATTTGCTGCTCCAAGTATCCCTTTCACAGGGGGGCTCCTGAGCTCCAGAACGTGTTGTCTGGACTTTGATCCAGCAAAAAAGGAATGAAGGGGATTTATTGACTTAGAACCCAGGTCAGGCCTGGATTTTAAAGCCTCAGGACTGTTCCAAGAGCAGTAAGAACACGAGATGCATCATTTGGAGAAACGAAGGAAGCAAACTTAATTTTTTTTTTTCCTATTGTTCTGAGGGGAAAACTAAGGGACAAAAAAAAAAGCCCAACCAGAAATCAGGCTGCTCAAGGCTTAAATAAAACTTTAGGCCTCAGCTGGGTTATGTTTTTGGCTGGCAATGTGCTGCAGAGCTCGCTGTGGATGCTCTGGTTACGAGCTGTGAGTTGTGTCACCCGGTGCTGAGGCCTGACAATAAAGCTCAGGGTGGCTGCCTGAGCCGAGCAGCCAGTTTAAATAAAGCTGCTGTCGAGTCCCTGAGAAGAGGAGGATTTTTATCCTTTGGAAGGGCACAGCCAGACTTTTATTCCCTGCAGCCCCACTGAAGAACTTTTGCAAGATACCCCGCTGGATCTTAATCGATCTTTCCCGCTGGCTAATTAAGCATCAGTTTTACTCAGCAGCTCGGGACTGTGTAATTATCAGCCTGGGTTGCCCTGAATAATTGAAACAGGCTGAATGCAGAAGATGGAAGCCTTTGGAAAAGGGGGCTGGAGCTTGGCTGATGGCAGAGTGGGGGCTGTGGGTGCAGCAGTGTCCTGGGACGGGGCAGGAAAAGGGCTCCGTTGCCTCTTTGCTGGTGTGATCCCCCTGAAAAATTCCTGTAGGCAGGAATCCTGCATGGGAGAAGTTAAATAAGCAGGATTCTGAAGTATTCAGACATCAGGGAAGATTTTTGGATTTTTTTTTTCCTTTTTTCCCCAGTGTCCTGAGGGCACTCAGCTTCCCCAGGGGCAAATCTGTGCCTCCGTGAAGTGCAGCTCCGGGTCTGGTTTTAAGGAATTAAACCCAAATAGCACCAAACTTGATAAATGTGGGGGGGCAGCTGGCAAAGTTGGGAGCTCTGGGTTGTTCTTGCCTCCTGGGGTAGGTGGTCTCTGTCTTGCTGTGCTGTCAGAGCTGTGAGTGGGGCTGGAGAAGTGGGATGAGGTGCTGCTGGGGCTGTTGGTCCGTGGATTTCTGCCTTCCCAGAGGTTGTTTGGCTTTGATTTGCTCGAAAAAGGAGCAGCTTTTTTAGGTCCTGGAGCTGATGCTGTGACACAGAACTCAGCCTTGGCTCTTAGCCCTTCCTCAGCCCGAGGGTACAATTTGGGGTGAAGCTTTTTTAGAACCAAATCACCTCGGGGGGGGGCAAAAAAAGAAGCAGTGGGAGTGGTGCAGCAGCCTTTGGAAAAAAAAAGCAGTGGGAGTGGTGCAGCAGCCTTAGCAGAGGAGAGGGGATGTGAAATCCCTCCTGGATGCTCAGGTTGAGGTGTGGGGCCTCAGTCCTGCTGCTGATTGAAATAAATTGCAGGTACTCGAGGAGGGGAAAGTGAGACCCTTGAGCCAGGACCCTGCAGGGCTTTATTGCTTGGAAAGGGGGGAGAGAGCAGAGGCTGCAGACAGTCCTTGTGCTGCCCCCAGCCATTAGTGCAATGATTTGTGGTGGGAGATTTACTGGAATGGTTTGATGGGAGAGGATCTGAGCAGGTCCCGCTCTGGGGGCCGGGTTTGGCTCCTCGGGGAGCTCCCTGTGGCTTTTGTGGTGGGTGTGCAGGAAATCATCAGCCTCTGCTGCCTTCAGGAAGCTCCTGCCTCCCCCCCAGCAGCCCTCTGGGGGGGTGTGGGTAGGGTTTCATTTTCGGGTTCATAATGGAGCATGAGTAAAGTGCTGGACTGCTGAGGAGAGACACGTGTGTCTGCGAGGGGGAAGAGCTGCATCCCGAGCCAGGCTCAGGAACTGCTCCTGGAATTCGGCTGGCGGGTCTTTATAGGGCTCCTCTCTCGTGGAGACACAAAACCCGAGCGCTTGGTCACGTTGGAGTCACCCCCGACCCTCCTGGAGAAAAAAAAACCACCAAGAATTTGGTTTAATACACATTTCTTGCCCTTGGCAGGCCAGGGCATCACCTGGAAGTGTCCAACACGGGAGGATTTTCATCCTCTTCCCCAGCACCACGTCCCCCCCCTCGAGGCAAAGCTGCTTTTCAAGCTCTGCTGTGACAGGACAGTGACACAAACCCAGGGGCCCCATCCTGGGACTCATCCCTG